ACTGCATCTTGCAATACCAGCTTCACTAAAAGAACTCATTGACCCTCAGTGAATCTGTAGGGTTTTGCTTGCAAGTATCATCCCTTCAGCCAGGAAAGGGTTAAGCTGAAGTTTCTGTAAGCTAATAGCAGCAAGTTTAGCCTAGAACCAATTAGGTGTAGAGTAGATTCTTAATGAGGTGACCTTAAGATTGACTATTGGCTTATCAATATATTGGAGACAGTTCATGCTATTCTGCAAGTACACAAGGGATGAAGCTTTGGGGGGAAACTTCCATTCCTTCCTTCTTAGGGTCAGAGGGAACAAAGAAATGAGATGCAGCAAATCAGAACTAGAAAGATGAGTTAGAGTTGTTTTCTTTCCATGTAATCCTTTCCCTAATTTTGAAGTACACTTTTCCTTAAGAAGTTAAACATACAGGTGTCTGTGCTGCATTCTTCTGCCGTGCTTCATTTATTCTGCTAAACGTCCAACAGAACCAACCATCTTTCATCCTCTCTGTCTTCAGGGGGAAAGATCTCAAGCAGCAGCATGAGCAGAAAGCTTATGAGCGTGAAATGCAGAGGATCACGTTGCCACTCTCAGCATTCACCAACCAAGCCTGTGAGCTGGTGGACGAGAACACGGTTGTGGTGCACACCACTCAGACACCTGTGGAGGAAATGCACAATGGCGATGCACCCTTGATGGGCCAGGCAGGCACTCCCGGAGCCTGATCACAGAGCGCTAGAAGATAACTCTGCTTTGACCACCACAAGCCCCTCTCCTCTCATCCTTGATAATGGGAGTTGGTTTTTTTTTTCTGGTAAGGGAGGGATAAGATGCCCACACAGAGAGAAAAGATTTGTAAAGGGTGTCAGTACTGGCTCATCCACAGTAGTCTGCTGATGCAGAGCAGATCCCTGGACTGTAGGACTAGTGGAGCTCTGGCCTGAAGCTGTTCTTCCTCCTGTGTCTCTAGAGTGCTACAAGTGAAGTAGCCCTGTGATTCCTGCAGTGGAGTGCAGCAAGTCTGCTGCTAAGGAGGCCACTGTCCTCTCCCTTCAGTTCTCCTTTCAGTGTGGATGGTGTTCACAATTCTTGGTACCTATAAGCTCTTTTAACTGGGGTGGGTGGGGAGCTTAAGAAAGGTGTGTGAATATCTGGAATGTAGATTTTATTTTTGTGTGTGTGACAGCTGCCAAAGGAGCAGCAGTGCCACCACCAAAACCCTAGCACATGTCGGTGGTTTAGTGATTGAGGAATTTTATTTGGCAGTCAATATTCTAATTTTTAAAAAGCCAGGTAGTCTGTGGGACACTTCCCATATGCTGAAGATTCAGCTGTAGCGGAGAATGGCTTCCTTGGCACTGGGCCAAGGGAGGATGGGAAGAAACAGCAAAAAAAACCCCAACAACACCAAAACCCCTTTCTACTGCCCCCAAGGCTGTTAATAATAATCCAGGTCTTCCATGGCCCAATCCTTACCTGCCTGAAAATAAGAAATATGGTCCTCTGTGTTTGTCCCCACAACTTGCTAGGGACCCCCCACACACACACAGTCTCTGGGATCAGGGAACAGCCTGGAGCCGCCTCCTCCTGAAGCCAGCCAGTTTGGTTTAGCAGTTAGATTTAGGAGGAATGGAGAGAATTTTGACCCCAAAGGGATTATTTCTACACTCCTTTCCCCAGAGGTTCGTTTCCAGGGCGGAAAAGAAAGTGTTAAGAAAAGGGTTTGCTAGGTTAAACCTGACCGAAAAGACTTCGCTAAAAGGAAAGTGCCAGTCAGTGACAGAGGGATGCCCTGCGGTTCCAAGAGTGAAAGGTTCGGGGCCTCTTCCTGAAAACTAGCCAGTTTGGGTAAAGACTGCTTAAGCAGCTGTATTAGTAGAGCTAAAGCACGTATGGGTGAGTTTTGGCCAGAGGTGGATGGAGACCGGAAAAGGCACAGAAGACATAGCTGAACATGTCGGCAAAGGGCTGATTCCACTCATACAGATATTTTAACCCTTCTCCACTCGAGGGCCTCCAAGCTGCCAAGAGTAACAATTTCTTGCAAATTATATCCATGAGCAAGAACAAGGGAAACATTTTTAAATTTTTTAAATGCCTTTGAATACCGTTTCTTTGTAAGCATCTTAAAATACCTCATGATTATGAAATAAACTATTCAGGTTGTAATTAATGCCTTGCATTGTGAATCATAAACACACCAGGCCAGGTTCTGTGGAAAACCTCCATGTTCATGCATTTCAGGGCCTGATTGGCAGCCAATGCTGATTCTCTTATCAGCAGAGGAAGGTACCCTTGTATGGGTCGTGCCTCCTCCCTGCTCCATGGGCAGGGCATAAGAAGATTTCTTGCAAAGCCTTCCACGATCCTGAGGAGACGCTCTACCTCCCCGTGTCTGTGCCCTGCATGCTCCATGAATGGATGAACTTCCACTGCTCTCACACCTCACTTATTAAAAACACAGGCAAAAATACCTTTAGAAATTGCTAGCCTCCACCTCTCACGATCAGTAGTGGAGGAAAGTATACAAAGTTCTCCTGGATGGAACAGTATTCCAAGGCAGCTTCTGGAACTGAGCTGCTGCAAGAGGTAAGTTTGGCTGCTGTTCCTCTCCCCCCCCCCCCCCCCGCCTCCTGCCTCTGCAACATTAGTGCCTGTTCTTCAGCTGTCACTCTCCCCTGCTGAAGCACTGGCAGGAAAAGGGACAGCCGGACCTCTCCCACTCCAAGGTAATGGTGGTGGACGGCCCATCAATGAGGCCACCTACAGTTCCTCTGAGCCTGAAAAGGGGCTCTCCCTGCTCATCTCCCTTGGCTGCAGGAAGGGACTCCCAAGGTAAGCAGAGGGGCAGCAGGTAACTATCCACCACTTGGAGGGTGACTTCTTTAAACTCCCCTCCATTGTCCTCACCCCGCAGGCCCATAGCTAGGATTTTTTAATTCAGGGGGCACCCTGCACAGACAACCCCCCAAGGAAGCACCACAAATTTAAAAAATGGAAGTCGGGGGGCCTGGACTGGATGGGAAGGGGGGCCTTGGTAGTAAGTGGGGGGGCCAGGCCCCAAGATGCCCCGCTGTAGCTACAGGCCTGTCACCAGGGCTTCACCTTTGTCCTTATATTACACCTGAGCATGAAGGACATTAAGTGCAATCTGAAGGGGGGGGAAGCAAACCCCAACAAAAAAGGGGGGGGGGAATCCCGCAGATATAACTGGTGTCATTTTAGCTCTTCTAGGCCAGCAGACCATGAGGCCTGCACTCAGCTCTGCCTTTGGTCTCCAGAGCTAGACTCTGCCCCCTCCAGCCATTCTGAATAATTGCACTTCAACGCCGCTTCAGACTCCATGGCTTCAGTTCAGGAAGAAGAGGAGCTGTTGGGGGAATGTACCACTTCTTCTGGCCTAGCCTCTACCAGCTTTCTCCATTAGAAGGAACTTCCACCCCTTTCCGGGGAAGGTCACTCTGGCCTAAGGATTTGCAGGACTAACCACTTACAGTCCAGTGCCAATTCTGCTGCTGCCACTCTCCCCAGCTGAAGTACCAACGGGGACGGGGAGTGGACAGCGACCTGCTCCAAAGCACTGGTGGCGAATGGGCCCATTTATAGAGCTACCCAAAGCTCAGCTCAAGCTGGCATCTCGCATTCCATCAGCTCTGCATGGCCAGGAGGCTTTGGCAAGTATATGCAGCCTTGTAAATTCTCCTAGGGTAAGACAGATTGTTGTTTTGTTCCAGGTGCAATTCCTTCAAATAGATGGGGACAGCTCCCTTAAAGAAGCCATGAGGCCCCAGACCTTGCCCTCAGAGCAAGTGCAGCCTCCCCTGCTTGCACAAAGCTGCCATTACTCAGGGCTGAGAAATCTCTCTGGGTCCTAGCTTCTGACCTGTTCAGGTACCAGCAGGACTGCCAAGATCAACAGAGCCTCTAGATTCTCTGGGGTCACTGTACCAGATGAAATCCTGGTGGAGATCAATAAAAAGAAGTCAATATCCTCTTCTTCCAAACTAGGCAAGAAGAGACCCAAGAGATCAGATCAAACTTCCTTTGGGCATTCCCGAGTATCTTTCCGGCAAGGGGGCTCCAGACTCCACTATACAGCTTGAAACAAATCCTGATTGATCTCAAAATCCAACCTCATCCAAGGGTTCTAAAGTGCACTACACAATCTGGCTGTGTACATTCTAGACCTCCACTCCCTGAAGAGCAGGTCTCCTTTCTCCAACTGGCCAATGCAATATTGGCTTAGGTTCCAAGCCACCAGATCCCAGGAAGCAGAGTGTCCCCTGCCTGACTCTCCTTGAGTCCCCAACCAAGAACATGCCCAAATACTAGCACAGGGTGCATGTTGGTGAGGCAGAAGGGTGAGGATGCTCTCTCAGCTCCCAGGGCACAAAGGGTCTCCTCTACACTCTCCCTGAATCTCTACTCGTAGTCAGGGAGTTCAAGAGACTACAAGAGAAACAGCCAACTTTGCCTTACCTGTGGCTACTTAAGGCAGAAATCTTCTCCAAAAGGTAGTTTAATTCCTCTCCTTTTAAGGAGGAGGTACAACTCATACAAGGATACCTTCCATTCCACTGATGAGAAGAAACCTTCATGGTTAAGTCCAATGTTTAAAAAAACAACAACAACACAACCCACACACTTCCAATTCATTTTAGCTCTGTTACAGGAGCACAAAATCACCTTTGCTCAGTTCAGGCAAGGTCCAGAAATCCCATTCGCTGAACTGGAATCTCCAGGTATAGCTGCTTGAACAGCTCTCCATCCACTTTAAACTTAATTCAGGACACCTTTCTTCACAGAAAGCCAACTCTTTGAGAGGCTGCCCTGCAGGCTCACAGACGGTGGGCTCAATCCTACCAGGTTTCTACTTAGTCTTGCCCCATTCCAATAGTCATGGCAGCTCCTGTCATGTGGTTTTTGTCCATGGCTCCCATGACCTCCAGCATAGCCCTTTTGCTGATCAAAATGGGCTGCCTCTTCCTCTTTTGCCAATGGAAAATCTGATAGGATCTAACCCTGTAATTAGACTTAGCCAAGAAATACCAGACTTATTCCTCAAAAGCAGCTCTGTTTCCTGAGGTCCATATGGGGCACATGTAGAGGAATCTATGTTCAGAAGTGAAAGGTACGATTCCACTCATCTACAACATGAATCCTCCTCCTTTCCATTTGTCACCAAGAATAACCACACTTTATCAGCACAAGAGCTGCAAAGCAAAACCACCATTATTTGCAAAATACACTATGGGTTTCAGTTCCTCTCTTAAAAGTAGCAAACCCTTGGTCCTGTAAAGCACTCCCTTTTTGTATCTGTATTCCAAGACCTACAGCTCATCTGTGTTCACTGCCCATTACATCAGCCTGCAAATTCCCACAGACTCCTACACAGTTCCTCATCCAGTCTTTAGAACTATGAGGACCAGAAGTCTGCTGTCCTAAGGACACAGCCCGGTCTAGACACTACTATGGTCTCTTAAATACAAAATGCAATTCCAACAAGCTCTGCATTCATAGGATAAAGTTTATTATTGCTTTTAATTTAGTCATTTTGTTGTGCAATCACAAGAGCCCAGAATTTTCTGAACATGTGATCCAAGTTTCTCCTAAGACAGACAAGGGTCTCCATTTTATGAAGATGTGTGGGTGGGAGCAAAATCTCACATAAACACAATGGTGAACTCCCTCCACTGTCCCACCACAGCAAAGGGGCCAATGTCTCTTAAAAACACAGATTAAATGCGAAACTTAAGTCCTAAAAGACTTGGGTCTCTAGGGATAAGAGGCTTCGTGAGTTTTGAGCACTCAGAACAGCAAGTTCTGGCCCCCTTAATCTTCAGCAAGACCCAAGGCTAGGTTAGGAAAGAACTGCAAGAATCTACTTTGAGAAGAGAACCAAAAGCAGGTGCAGATGTCCACCTGGGTTTCCCCAAGAGCTCTGATGCTGTCTCACAATGGGGGAGGGGAATCTGGCAAGGTCGACAATGTAGTGGATGAGCCACTTTCCCAAGGAGGATTACTACAAATGGTTCCTGCTCTTCTGAAAACAGGTATACAAAGACACAGCCAAAACCCAGTAGGAGAACAGGCAGCAGCGTTCCAAGAGTGCAGTTTCGGCCTGATGGCAAGGGGTGGGTATGACTGACAAGGCCTGAAATGGAGGACAGAGGTAGTCACTATTGCCATGCACTGTAACTTCAAAGCTAGTGGTCCCAAATAAGAGAAATATCTCATTCCCAAGCCAGGCACAAGTTATATCAAGATGCTCAAATGCAGCAAACCAGGCTCTCGCTTACATAGCTGCCATTTCCACACCCATTATGCCACAAAGGAAACCTCCAAATGGGAAGCACTTGGGGGGGCGCTGTTGGTATTCGAGCTGGGAGATGACCTCAC